GGGGGGGGTGGGAGTGTGCTAGGTACCCCTGTCAGTAGCAGTTTACACCAGTCCTGGTTTCACAGCCACCCAAAAGTGTGCTAGCTCAGCCGTCAGACTTCAAACCTGATCCGTGGAGCAGGTTTTACACAGCAAGTGGTGCTTCAACACAGAAGCTGCAGCTTCTGCAGCACCGCGGGAGGTGTAGACCTGCAGGGAGGGCGACGGGGATCCCTTGGGGCATCTCTGCTGCCCAAGGGTTCGTCACAAAAGCACATCCCGGGTGCAGCAAGTGTAGACCAGGCTGGCGTGCTTTAACACGACTGAAATAGTATCAGTATGTGCTCTGCTAAGCTGGGAGTTGGCTAGCCGCTTCAGGAGGTGTGCAGTTTGTAATCTGGTTGAGCCTCGTGCAGGCAGGCGCTTAAAGCAGCTTGTCCAATACACGAAATGCAGCACACAGAGCAACGGAGCGTGATTGTATTTGTATTTTTCTCTGAAGTTGGACAGATCCTTGAAAGTACTATCAGTGCTTGTATGGATGCGCAGTTGGGTCCTTGCAGGAAATATTTCAGTTAGAGAATAACTGGTGTAAATATTACTGTGGAATGCTTATTGGCAGTAGGTTTATTAAGTAGCACCCTTGGTTCTCAATTCGTTTAGCTTTACGGTATAATAACAAAACCAAACCCTATTTTGTATCTGCAGTGGCTTCTTTGAGTAGGGTTGTCCTTAGTGTGCCTTAGAGTTGGGACTCAGTTTTTCATTGCAACTTTCGGGTTAAAAGATTTTTAGGACAGACCACTTTTGAGTGCTCAAAGACCAAGGAGTGTTCAAGAAAAGTACTGTCAAGCATAAGTCCACGTCAAAACTGCTAATTTCTGCAATCTGTACCTAAAGAATTGAGAGGTTTTAATGAAATGCTAAGGAAGAAGTTGCAGGTGGTGACATGCTGGAGATGAGGTTAGATGGTTACGGGTTCCCTTTGGCCTTGATTTGTATGCTAAACTTGGTATTTTGGACTTTTGAAGCATTGGTTGTCCATGCACAAAATCGTAAGTCAAAAGAAAATCTCCTAGCTGATGTTGTACTTCATGGTTAGGAACACCTTGTCACAACAAAATGTTTTTCCTAGATTACTGTTACTTTAGTGGATTTTTTTAAACACACTAGTATTTGACTAAGGGGATTTATTAGTTCTTCTTAATTTTTTATGCATTAAAACTGTAATCCCATTGCATATTCATGCATTTCTGCATATTTATTAAAAAAGTGTTTTACGTTCCAGTGAAGTAAGCATAATTTGCTTATATGGTTATTTTTTTTTTGCCTCAAATATTTTGGGTTTTACCTTTACAGTCGTCAGACGTTAAAATCTTTTCTAAGGGGAACGCAAATTCCCGTGTGTTTTCTGCTGTACAGGTCTAAGGTTGCTGTTTGCTGTTAGTACTTTGTCAGCCTATGCTAAAGCTCACACGGGCTTGTTAAGAGGGTTGACTTCCAAGGTGAATGGGCTCTGATGATCTGAAAGGCACCTCTGTTGTCTGTAGGCTTATATTTGCCATATGGGCTTTCGTACCTTCGCTGGAAAAATTCCAGGTGTTGCATGTTAAAAATGTATAAAAATGTTGAGTTCAGATCTTGGTATCTAAGCAAGTGCTGGTGGACTCGGTGTAAGAGCATGCAGACGTAGAATTTAACTATTTCCTGTGCTACAGAAATAATGGCTTTGTGTAAAGGGTCATTTAAAAAGTGGCAAATGAGATACAATGGTTCTTCTGTATAATTTTTTGTGTGATGTTCTTAAGTGCCAGTGAGGATTCAGTTTATACCAGCTGATCAGTTAATATTTGTGGATGGTCTTATATTTGTCTTCTATGAAGTATCATTTTAAACTTTAATTCTGTACTTCGTAATTATGACTCGAGCTTAGTTTTGTTTAGTGAGTCCTTTTAAGAGGCTTCAGCCTTTGTGCCCCTCCCAAGGGCTGTAAGGTCTGGCAATGAAAGATAACGCAATTTGAAATTTGTAACGCTTCTTCTAGAGGAGCGAATGTATCTTGCAATTGAAATTGCAGTAGTAAGTGTAACTGCGCGAATTCAGTAAAATCATAAAATATTTTAAAGTCTCTTTGAGAAATGTAAAGGATAACTGAATGTAATCAGTTCTCAAAGTTTTCCAAGACTTCTCATTTCTTTAATTGATTGAAAAATCGCATTTGCTTGTTTCCTGGGAGGGCAAAGAGGTGCTACGTTTTTCCCGCTCCTGTTTGAAGTCAGTAGAGGAGCTCACTCTATATCTTTCACCCCACACCTCTGAGTTGGAATGAGAAACATACCGAACTTTAACGTCATTTTTCTGATAGTGCTTCTGTTTTATAGATACATTTTTGCCTTGGTGGGGAAGAAATGAAAATATCAGTAGTTCTGTCAGGCTGAAGCAATGTATTCTGTTTAAAAACCCATCCTGTTTGGAGAGTGGGGAAAGCCCTTTAATATTTTTATCTTTTTTCTTATGCAGGAATAAAAAACTACTCGAACTGGCCTACCATCCCACAAGTATACCTCAATGGTGAATTCGTTGGTGGCTGTGATATACTCCTCCAGATGCATCAGAATGGAGATCTCGTAGAAGAGCTGAAGAAGCTAGGGATCCGTTCTGCGCTGCTGGATGCAAAGAAAGACCAAGACAAAAAGTAAAACAAGCAATAAAAGATGCTGTGACAGGAATAAAGCAAATCTTTGATAAGAACTTGTTACCAGTAAAGCCTTACGACCTTCAGCTCGAAGAAGGCATCTTTTTGAACTGACACTAAGATTTACCTGTGTATGTCTGTTAGTTCATAGTAAATGTAGTGATCTTGGTATTTTGATTTATGGATATTGTGAAAATTTGATTATAACCACTGCACTGTAAAGTGTACATTTGTGGAAGTTGTGTTTAAAAAAAAGAAAAAGTTCACTTCTAAAAGCATTCACTTCTTGATTGAGTCAGGAGTAAACGAAAAGAACTAATGATATTTTTATGGATTTTGAGTGTGTGTTTCTCTGTTCTTTGATACATGAACGTACGCAAACAGTGTTTGCATTCCCTTGCTCCTCTTGAAAAAGTGTTAAGTAATAGTGCATCAGTTTTGCTGTATAGCTCCTGGTGATGAGACTTCCTGAGAGCCTGTAAAACTTCTGTAATCACATATGATGTAGGAGAAAAAATAGTCTTCAAACAATATAGAAGAATGAAGATTATATAAGAGTGCATGAAATATACTTTTATTCCAAAGAGTAAAAATAAACAGACTTGTACAAATACATGCATAATGGTCATTATTACTTTGTAACATTCTGTTGGCTTTTAAAAGGTTGCGAAGAATTGTGCCTAAAGATTTTATAAAACCTTTTCTACCTCTTGCAAAGCAGCTTTTCACCCCTGCTTATGTACTTTTGTATTGCGGTTCAGTGTCAGTGCTAAAATGTGGGAATTATTTCAGGCTTCAGTATTCTATCTTGAAATAGTATGGGAGAATAATTCAGTTACTACTGTAATCTTGTATTATTTGCTAGTTACTAAGTTATCTTTTTATATTTGTTGTATTTCCAACTATTTTCTCCTGACTGCTGTGCTTTGAAGAATGTGGTCTTCAAACGTGGGATTAACAGATGAAATGTTTCACACAGACGAGTGCAGTAGAGAGGCTACTGAAAAGATAAATATTTCTTTGTGGAAATTCTCTGAAGTCTTCAATACCTATATAACCACATTTCCCCAAGTTAAATTACATTAACCAGTGTAGCTTCAGTGATACAGCAATGCTGCTAAGGTTAAAGGCTAACCAAGGTGTTTCTAAGTGCAGTTTACTTTTATTAATACAAATCAGTTTACATATGAATTCAGCAAATGATTGGAAATAAACTGTATTTTACATTGATTGTCTACAATAGTTCCTCTTTATTTTGACTACCCTAATGAAACTGGTACTACTTTTGATTTGAAACCTAAAATGTTTTCCACTGCATAGGATAGAAAACACTGGTTTAGAGAAAGGAAGAATTGTGAATGGTCAGTGGAAGAGGTCGGACTGGAACTTGTAGACAAGAGAGATTTGATGGAAGTTCCAGTTCTAAATCAACCCTGTCCACTTGAGCAGGCTGTCCAGTGGAGTGACTATAGTGGTACGTTCTTTACAGAATTTGCCAAACTGGTTACAGTAAGCTTACTGTATAGTTTTAATACGGTCTGTATCACCAGGCTTAAATACGGCGTGTGTGTGCTCTCTGTATTCACTTGTTCTTGACAGCTGCCCCGTACCAGCCGCGGTGACTGAATGGCCACGGGCTGTGAAGAAGTTACACCCCGAGGCAGTCGCTTGTGGCGGCTGGGCGTGGAGATGTCAGTGCAGGACTTTTTTGTTTGCCTACCACATCACATTCATGAAATGCAAAGCTTTAGGTAGAGATGAAGGTTAGTTCTGAGCATTTTGGTGTTACCACTCTTTCGATTCAAATTAAATAGCTTTCCTATGGCTAATCTTTCACAAGTAGTTTTTGCCATTCTGAATATAAAATTATGTTTAGAAAAATAAGTGGATTTCAAAAGCTTTTGGTTATTCATGTCAAAAGACCTATTGAAATCAATGTACACAGTAAACAAATAATACGTTAACAAAGAAAAGTAGATTATTTTCTGCTTTAGTGGTAACTCTTAGTCTGCTTACTAAATAAAATCTGTTAACAAACCCCCAAATCCGCTGTTTCGTAGAGCTCTATTCTTTGTTCATCCATGAAAGCTGAATGTGTTTCAGTACTATCTGGTGGTAGCTTAACATAAAGATAACTTCAGCGTTGTTGGATCTTTTTCCTCTAAGCAGCAAAACTTTTCTCCCAGCGTGCGTTCCTGCTCTTACCAAAACGAGTTTTTCTACTTTCTCTACTTCCTTACCCTTAGACTTTTTAATTATTTGGTTAAAGTTTTGCAATATATACAATAGTGTTTATATCAGTCCTTTGCCTGATTGGAGTGCGTTGTGATTGAGCAAGAAAAAGCAACAGTGATACCGTAAAGCATGTGTGATAGCCACAGAAGTGGGAATATAAAATGTGACTTCTGCCTGCATTCCTGTGCAAGCCGTATCTTTCCAGGCTTGGTGTGCATGAGCAGTTGTGTTACATATTACATCTATATAAATGCTCGTGTTCATCCAACTGCAATAAATTAATCGCTGTCTGCTTAAATTGTAAAACCTCAGATGCTCACAGAGAGGCTTATTGTGGGAGCTGACTGAGAGTATTTTCCTGAAGAAGCTAGTTCTCAGTTACATTGATCATCTCAGAAGATGGGCAGTATTCTGTACTCTGCTCATCAGCTTTTGCTGTCCCTCAAACTAGAGGCAAAAGAGAGCATGTGCTTCCAATCTAAAAGGGACGCTACTGCAAATGAGCTGGGTTTTTTTGAGGAAAAAATCATGGCTTTCCTTGATGAGAGAACTGAACCTGCCTTTTTCATGCTCTTTGGCAGTGAGAGAATGTAACTGATAATATTGGAGTCTGGGGTGACCACCAGTGGATGTGCTGAGCTGATACTGGGGGGCTGGTGCTAGCTGGGAAGATCCATGAGGAGTCCCTGGTCGAGGGGATGCAAAGGGTTGTGTGGGGAAAAGGGTGACTTTCCCCCCAGGAGGAGTGGCTTGGCACAGGAGATGAGGGCAATGATGGAGAGAGAACACTGGCACTGCTACTTGTGCTTCCCTGACCATGTTGCAGTAAAACAGAGACCGGAGAGGTGGTGGTGCTCAGAACACGGCTTGGGAAGGCTGGCTGAAGCTGCTGAGGAGGACAGCCAAGAGCAAAGACGGGGAGCTGCACTTGCTGGTTTTGGTGGATAAAGAAGCAACGCTGCCTGGTCTGGAGTTTGGTCTGCTGGGGTAAGCAGCAGGCAGGCGTCAGGGCTGTGCATGGGCATTGCCACCTGCAGCGCTCCTGCAGGTCAGGGTTGGTCGCATGGAGCTGCGAGCTCCAAATTGCTGTGGAGTCCCATCCTCGCTACTGGTGTTGGGCAGGCATCCCAGCTGCCTGCCCCTCCGCGGAGGTGCTCCTGGGCTTGTTCTGGCTGTAGTGCACTGCTGAGGGCCTCCAATGAGACGAACACGTGAACTATTGTCTATGATTGTTACTCTGTTATTTCAGGATTGTGGTATGAATGTTTGCCAAACTGGAAACAATTATTGTATTTACTTACATTTTATTCTGAGGATGCCCTTGGTGCTGCTGCTGTAGTAAAAGGCTGAGCTGAGTGGACCAACTTATTCACCAGATCATAAATTAAGCTAATCTTCTGCATCTTCTAACGCTTCTTGCCTCTTACAGATAAAGCAAGGTCGTTAGATTTAAGCAAATTTTTCGCATGTCAAAACCTACCTGGTGTCCTCAGCCTTCACCAAAGAGGAGGTAGGGTTTCTTTGCTCTTCTTGAACTGGTCCTGGCAGTGGGCAGAAGGAAGCAGGTTACAAGCACTTGTGCTGCTAGTTTTGATTTGGGAGAATTCGAATCAGTTCAACGAAAAGCTGTTTCCCTGAGAAAACCAGCTGTTAACAGCTCAAGACGTCTTAATGGGTTACAGGCTGTGTTTCTCAGCCCCAGTGACCGTTTCCTTGCCTTAATTTTGCTAGCGGATGTCCAGATGTGGTCAATATTCTCCATTGCTTGTCTAGAAATGCTTGGCAGGATATTTCCAGGAGCCTGTCAATGTTAACAAAGTGTGTAGAAAACAATCAAATGTGGGAACATGAAATCAAAGAGTCTTACCAAGGAAAATCTCTCTTGGGCTGGCACCAAGAACCCCATCAAGGCCCTGTCAGCGCCTGCATCTAAGAAGGGCAATACTGAAAAGCAGAGCTGGCAGCTTTAGCAATAAATCCCTGTCTAATCCAGTTTGCATGTCCCTTCAAAGCAACCAGATCTCCTTACATGGGGTTTTTCACCATCTGTATTACAGGATTGTGTAAGAAAAAAAATGCTCCTTAGTTAAAGGATATGCGTTACCTGTTAAGGAGTCTCTGTGAGCGAAGGTGGAAAGAGAATGCAGAAAGGTAAAGAGAGTTGGAAGGTCTGGGATCGTTCGTCGTGCAGTGTGATGGGTCAAGCTTGCTGTTGGCTGAAAGGGCTGAGATGAAAACACTGCTCTGGAAGAGGCTGTGGTTCATTATTTGATTTTGACTTCTTTGCTGGAGTGCTGCTTGTTCTGTTGAATAGTTCTGTCTCACAGCGCTGCTGTCCCTTACGTGGGCTGATCATGGCTATAGAAATGCCCGACCAATTTAACTACACGGGGCCTATCGCAGCAGAGCTTTTAGGAAAAACAGGTTTTAGCTACACAGAAAATAGGGCTGAAGTAGCTAAGATTCTGATTTATAAACTTTCCCTCATCATCCAGCTTCTCACACGTGCCCGTTTCCCTGGAAGTAAGGGAGCAGGCCAGGAGCAAGGGCCGTTTCAGTTAGAAAGACCGTCGTACTGCGTAGGATCCGAGGGCGTCGCAGGGTGCGGCCGAGAGGAATGTGCCGTGCTGCACAGAGTGAGCAAGCATTCATACCTTCACAGCTTTGAAGATGGCTTCTCATTAATCAGACACCAGAAATGCTTGCAGGAGAGCAGCCTGCAGCTCGTGCTCCCCTCTCCAGAAGGAAGAAAACCTTTCAAGGGTGACT